GCGACGAAGATGATCATATCTAGGGTGCCGGATGACGGAGGCAACGAGAAGACGAAGGAACTGGTTGTGCGAGCAAAAGTCGTTGAGACGAAGATCAAGGAGATATCGAAAAGCCTTCGAAGAGAAAACTCCATCATCCGGCTCCAAAAGAGGGACATGTTTGATGGAGGAAGTGAAGACAGGGACCGGGTCCTGACATTTCTGGAGGACAAGCGGCTAGCCGACCTTGTGGAGGGCTACGTTGAGAAGGAAACCATGACCGATGCGGAACAACTGATAGCCCGCCGATATCTGATGTGCTACATTGTGTACAGGAATTCCCACCGGCAGGGAGCCGTTGTCAACCTACGAATAAGAGAGCAGCAGAGGGCTATCGAACATAAGACAAAGAGTGGCGAAACAGTCTTCGTTTATAAGGTATTTATAGGATTGTAAGCCAATGCTATAGTTACCCTTTGAAGCCTTCATTTTACCCACAGGATTTCCCTCATGCCTTACCTTTCTGATTCATATAGGTCTGGCAGCACAAGACAAGTGGGCAGTTTGGCAGTGCGAACCTGGTTGTTCCAGAAAGACGCACCATATGTGGGCTAGCCGACCTTGTGGAGGGCTACGTTGAGAAGGAAACCATGACCGATGCGGAACAACTGATAGCCCGCCGATATCTGATGTGCTACATTGTGTACAGGAATTCCCACCGGCAGGGAGCCGTTGTCAACCTACGAATAAGAGAGCAGCAGAGGGCTATCGAACATAAGACAAAGAGTGGCGAAACAGTCTTCGTTTATAAGGTATTTATAGGATTGTAAGCCAATGCTATAGTTACCCTTTGAAGCCTTCATTTTACCCACAGGATTTCCCTCATGCCTTACCTTTCTGATTCATATAGGTCTGGCAGCACAAGACAAGTGGGCAGTTTGGCAGTGCGAACCTGGTTGTTCCAGAAAGACAGCACCATATGGTGTCCAGATATGCCGAGAAGCACCGCCCGGCCCCAGCTGAGGACTGCAGCGAGTATATTTTTCTCACCCCCCAGGGTAGGAAGGTGGCCCACCTATCTGACGATCTCAAGGCACTCTCTAAAGATTTCCCGACTACCCTGGGGGTCGTGAATATGACAACAACACAGATGCGGAAGCTCACCTCGACGCAGGTGGCAGCAGAGGGTGCAACAGACGCCACAATAAGAACAGTGGCCACCCACATGACGCATGGGGCCGACACCGCCAGAAAATACTACCAGCACCTGGAAGGTGTCAGCCAAAGTGTGGCGGCCTTTGGTGAGATATCAAGAAAGCAGTCGGCAGACCCTGCGGAAAACGACGAGTTGATCGTCCCAAAATTGAAGAAGAGAAAGATGTGGCTGAAAGAAGAAGAGCAGGAGATACGAGAAAAAATCGACATGGGGAAGACGCCGACACTGGAACAATGCCAGGCCTTCCTGAGTGCAAATACAAACGCCAAACTCTTTTCTGAGAGGACTGCAAAAGAACTTCAGGACAAATGTCGGACCATAAATCGACAGACACAAAAGAACGAATGATATTTCATGCATTCTTACACTGTACAATTATTTCTTTTTAAACTCAAACTCAAACTTAACCGCCAGGGCGATAACTTACCATAAGGGACACCTTCAAACAACCCCAACTTGAAAGGCACCCTTAAGGAAGAATCAAAGTATAATTCACCCTTACACCTCGGGGTAGGGCTATAAGGTTAAGGGATGAAGACTAGGGTCTAGGGCTAGTACTAGGGATAGGGCTAGGATATAGGATAGGTACCTCTAGGGTAGGGCCTAGGGATAAGGGATGAAGATTAGGGTCTAGGGCTAGTGATAGGGAAGTAGCTAATATTTCAAAGTATAATCCCCCCTCAGCGATGAAGACTAGGGTCTAGGGCTAGTGAAGTAATATCAGGTCTAGGGCTAGGGCTAGGATAGAGGATAGGTAACCTTAGGGTATATAGAGCCTAGGGCTAGGGATAAGGGATGGAGACTAGGGTCTAGGGCTAGTGATAGGGAAGTAATATTTCAAAGTGTAATTCCCCCTCAGGGCTGGGGCTAGGGATAGGGCTAGGACATTTATAGGATAGATAACCCCTAGGATAGGGCTAGGGCTAGGGCTAGGGCTAGGGCTAGTTTATTATATACGCGGAGGCAACGCCCACAACTATACGACCGTATATACATCATATTTCACAAGTCCCCCTTAGGTCTAGGTCGAGGGGCAGCATCCTGTGGGTTGAATAGACTATAAATGTCCTAGCCATATCCCCAGCCCCAGTCCTGAGGGGGAATTACACTTAGAAATATTACTTCCCTAGCACTGCACCAGTTGGTAGCTAACCCTGGGGGACTTACCCAGGGTTCGGATGGATAGTAAGCTATCCCTGAGGCTAAACCAAGGGTTCGGATGGATAGTAAGCTATCCCTGAGGCTAACGCTAGCACTTACCCAGGGTTCGGATGGATAGTAAGCTATCCCTGAGGCTAACGCTAGTACTTACCCAGGGTTCGGATGGATAGTAAGCTATCCCTGAGGCTAACGCTAGCACTAACCCAGGGTTAGGAAGGATAGTTAGCTATCCCTGAGGCTAACGCTAGCACTTACCGAGGGTTCGGGAGGATAGGAAGCTATCCCTGAGGCTAACGCTAGCACTTACCCAGGGTTCGGATGGATAGTAAGCTATCCCTGAGGCTAACGCTAGCACTAACCCAGGGTTAGGAAGGATAGGTAGCTATCCCTGAGGGCTAAAGAGGGCTATACCGAGGGTGCGGGAGGATAGTAAGCTACCCTGAGGGCTTTGGGTATAAAAGAGAGAAGAGTTTGGGGATGATGCATCCAAGTGTTTCCTCGGAAATCCAGAGACCTCCAGAGAGTGCATCATCATCATCGTTCTACAGCCTACTTCAACCGGACCTCCAGAGACCTGCGGAGACTGCATCATCGTTCTACAGCCGACTTCATCCGGACCTCCAGAGACCTGCGGAGACAGCTTGGGATATCACCGACTACTATGAAGAGACCCAAGGAACTCCGTTGGAATTGTGGAACGGGAATGTGAAGGTGTGTAGTGCAAACGGACAATATCAATGCAAGTTATTCATGATACTCTTTTAAGTATAGTTGGCAAGTGACAGGAATATTGGCCGAATGAAGAAACTGATCCTGAAGCGCCTCAACCCTACAACTCCTTCGAAGGAGGAAGGCGAAGCTCCCCCTCACCATCAACCATGCAGCCCTGGATCAAGTGCAGTAGTGGCACCGTATATGACACCCAGAGAGTCCTATGAGCTGGGCATGCGCTCTCAGCCAGCATGGGAGGGTAAGCTCTTTAATGTGTTAAAGAAATAAAGTTTATGTATCTATATGCACCTGTAGAGAAACTGGAAGTGTTCGTAAGGGAGGATGGTGAACGAGGGGTTAGAGCACTCACCGCGTTCCGAGATGGAGAGTTCCTCTGTGAGTTCGAGGCAAATCTTTTGTCGAAGGCCCAGTGTGAGAAGGCAGAGAAAGAATACGAGGCAGATGGGAAACCTGTCTACATCCTTGAAGTGTGTTGTTTCAGCTGAACTCAATGATTGATTTATCTTTACCCTTATAACAGGCACACGGGTTGTACTTCGACCCAACACTGAGGGCGAATGCAATCGGCAAGTACATCAACCACGCTGCAACAGGGGGAAACGTCACCCTATTCCCTCCACTGTTTGCAAGGGGAAAGATGCGGGTAGGGTTTGTTGCAAAGAAGGCGATTTCCACTGGGGAAGAACTCTTCTATGACTACGGTTATCGGTAGGTAAAACACAACAATCGTTGAGCTAATACTTTTACTGAATAGTGTTTTTCTGCAGTGATCATTCAGCACAGTGGACATTTTACCGGAAAACAACTGCTCCAATTGTCTCCCCTCTCCTTTCCACTGACCCCCTTCTCTGTTGCTCAACTGCCGACACCACAAGGAGTGGCTCCCCTCCCCTTCTCCTTGCTGACGAGAATGACTCAGAGAGCAGTAAGTTATTAAATAGTGCACTAACCCCAAGGATCTAATACTAGAGTTATTTCCTTGAGCTATAAGAGGGTACTAAGTCTACTTGTCTTTCTTCTACAGTTGTAGGTACTGAGACGCAGCCTGTCTTCGACTCCCCTCCCCTTCTCCCTGCTGACCCCAAACCTTGCTCCTCAACTGCCGACACCACAAGGAGTGGCTCCCCTCCCCTTCTCCCTGCTGACGAGAATGACTCAGAGAGCAGTAAGTTATTAAATAGTGCACTAACCCCAAGGACCTACTCCTGAGGGTGAATGACCCTGTGGATGGATTACACTTCACCCTCGGTGGGGTTAATAATAGTCTTTCAGCTATATATAGGAGGTTACTAAGTCTACTTTTCTTTCTTCTACAATTGTAGGTGCTGAGGCTTCGCAGTGGGTCCATGATGCTCAAGAAGACCCCACTACCTATACACCTCCTGGCTCCCCAATTGCTAGTTCCTCTCCCCTCTCTTCCTCTCTCCCCTCTGGCTCCACAACTGAATGCCCTAAGCCTGCTGCACCGAAACACCTGAAGAGGAGACGTCCTTGTCCTGTGCCTGAGTGCAATGGAGCACTGCACCTGAATATGTGGAACCATATCTTCCAGACGCACAAGGCAAAGGGGAAGTATTCCAGTAAGTGTCCTTTACCCATATATTACCCTTGCAGAGGGTGATTTAGCTAGTAACCCTCAATCCTGAATCCAAGGGGACTCTATTCCTTGTTATCTTAGTGGACGAACTGCGGAAGTTCATGGAGATTTCCAAGCTCCAAAATCCGAGGACAAGGACATCAACCAAACAAGCTCCCGGCCCGATAGAGAAAACTGAGACGGTGAAACAGGAAGAAGATGGCTCTGTCACAATCACCAGAGTTGACATTAAGCCAAAGTCATCGGGCCGGGAGCGCTTTGGATCAGGGACAAAGAACTGGAGCAAGTTTGATGAAGACACGCCTGTCCTTAAACGATTCTCAAGGTGAGAGTAATAATTATGCTCCCTTAAGGCACTAGGGAATAAGGCCTGAATAAGGCAAGCTTCACTGGTTAGAGTATGATTCCCCCTTGGGATAGGGCTAGGGGAAGAGTTTTCCTAATGGTTTGGGCTTGATTACCCGTTATGGTTAATTGCTAGAGCTAGCATGATGACAATCATTCCCCCTGCTACAGCTACCTGCAGAGCGTGGAGGGAGGCACCAAAAACCCCAAAGCTGCACAGCAGGAGGTTGTTGACTTGTCCAAGTTCCTCTATCTTGCCGATGAGAAGGAGTGTGACATCAACCATGTTACAACCATGTCCCACATCGTGGACTATCTCAACAAGTTGAGGCAGAGTGGGGTTGGCCCATCAGGGCAGGTGACTAAACTAACAACAATCCTTGATGCGACGAAGATGA